ATAGTTATCGCTTGAACCAATCTTATCCCAGAAAGAAATCAGCATCAAATAATTGACACAAAAATCCAAATTCCACTCGGCCTTGCCTTAATACCGCAAAATATATCGTCCCTCAACAATAATTATTAAGATACTATCTGTATTATTTTCCAATTATTTTGTAATTCACCCTTACTTTTCTACCATTTACTCTGTAAAACAAGTTTTATCATTTACGCCATATTAATGAACAGCTTTAGTTAGGAAAAAGTAGGAGCAAAAGACACAAATAAAGGTAGCAATGGATTATAAAACATTTTAAGTTTTATATTCAGTCAAGATGTTTGACATTAAAACAAGGAATAAAAAATTAAAAAATAATACTTTACATCTCATGTTACTTTTCATGATTTCATCTCATCTTAGTTTTTTTTTTTTCTATACAATCTCACTAATACAATTTAAGAAAGAAAAAATATTATTGTATATTTTCCAACAAGACACTTCCTATCGTTATGAAAAGAAAAAAAAAATAAATAAAACTTTATTTATTCATGTATTTTTCTAACTATCATTCTTATCCGTTAATATTTTATTACTTGTATATTTGATCTGCTCTAGTCATTGTACTTTATTTTACATTTATTTCACAATCTCAAATCTGTTTCACTTATTTTTTGCATTTATTTTTCTCTATTTTTGAATTAGGAAATAAAATCTTTTCATCAAAGTTTTCTTCTCACTTTCGCCTATTTCTGTTCATATATCTGAAACCTGATCTCTGTTTGACAATAATCAATAATTCTCATATTCTATAACATTTATTGGAAGAACTACTTTCTTAGGTCATCTACAGAAAGCCATTTGGCTAGGAGGATACCTCCACCAGGAAGAAAACGGACATTTTGTCCATATTTACATTTCTTAATTACCTCCAAAATGTTATTATAAAATATAATGGGTTTCACTTTCAGGCAGCCATCAATTTATTTAATTATTTATAACAGTGAGCTCAACTATAGAACTCATTGCGTATTATACGTACGTTGTGCACGATGTAACATGTGACGGCTATAGTTTTATTCTAACTATTAAGGGAGAAAGAACAATAACGAAAGTATAACAAACATCAGACGATTGTGAGTTTCATCCTTGTTGACTCTTGTCTTTTAAGAATTAAGTGTATGCATATCGATTATTATAATTCAAAGGAGTAGTTTGATCAGGCAGATTATATTCTCCACTTTAAAGGTAGTAATTAGTAGTAGAAAATGGTGTATTACATTATTGCTAGTTATAAATAAAAAAAAAAAAAAATCATCTTGATTTTCTTTTTCTTTTTTTCCAAAAACAAAAAGAATGGAAGTTTTTTGTTTTAAATTTTAGATACTTGTTACAAAATTATAGGCTTAATTGCCTATAAAACCTCAACCTTTTATATGATTGCGAATAAAACTCAACCTTTTTAGTTTTAATAATAAATGCCAACTTATTATTATGTGTTGCAAATTTGTCTCCAATCATTTCCCAGCCAAGTCGAGTTGACATGTCCGATCAGAAATCTTACGTGGCGCTGATGAGGCTTGCTTGTAGACCAATTTTTCCACATCATCCTCCAAGTCGTGTGGCAATAAAACCAAAATATTAATTCCCCCAAATAAAACCCCAAAATCCAAGAACCTTAAATTTGAACTCCTTCACAACTGAAACCTTAAAATACAAAATAGAATTAGAATTTACCGTTCTCCATTGACGAAAGTCACAAAACCTCCAAGCCTCTCGTTTATATACTTTACAGAACTCTAAAATCACCTCTATGCGCCCCAAAATTTGCACATCTGCCTAATTTTTCAGAATTTTGGGGTGAGCTCGTAAATGTATTCGAAATGTTGGGTGTGAACTCGATTTTTGGTGGAGAAAAATCGCTGCAATATTTTTTGATTTTGTTTTACAATTGAGGGTGAACTCGATTTTTGTAAATGAAAAATTGAGCAACAACATGGTGAACTCGATTTTGTTGGGAGTGGAACTCGATTTTGGTTATTTGTTGGCATATGATGTGGCAAAAACATGGTGATGAGTTTAAAAAGTTGAGTGTCACACAAACCTCATCAGTGCCACGTAAGATTTCTGATCTTACATGTCAATAAGGATTGGTCGGAAAATAGTTTTGAGACAAATTTGCAACACATAATAAAGATTCAATATTTATTTACAAAGATAAAAAAGTTGAGTTTTATTTGCAATTATACAAATGGTGAGGATTTTATAAATAATTAACCCAAATTGTATTATTATTTTTATTAATAAGATCAATTTGGAAAGATCAAACTCTAATCTTCACACACACAAAAGATTAGAAATTAATGTAATTGATTTTGTTTTGATGAGAGCAAAAGTGGAACAAAATAAAATTTGTCCTAGTACTAGGGAAAGCCAAAACTTGGACATGCTGCAGTATCTGCACGAAAAGGAGTATATATGTAATATGTTCAGTTTTTTTATTTTTTTATTTTTTTTTTCAAGTTCCCTATTTTATTTTATTTATTTGAGTATTTTCTCGGTCTTTTATTTATTTTTTATTTCTTTATTATTTTTTAATGTGACATGTAGGTCGCATATCCAGATAAATTCTCTCACACCTTGAACGGGTGTTTTATCAGGCGTCAATGTATACATCCATCAGGGTTAATAAACGTAAGACTAATTTTAAAACTCTTTGATCAGTTCTTCACTTTTCTTTTAATAATAACAATAATAATCGATTTAATTCATTCAGGAAGAGAAAACCTTTGACCCTTTCTTTCCCCTGTTTTTGCATATGACATAGAAATCAAGAAGATTAAGTCAACTAATCTATATATATATATATAGGGAGTGGTTCAAATAAAAACTTTTTCTGGATATATATATATATATAATTACACCAAATTAATTTTATATTTTAAATATTATTTAAATACAAATTCAAACTCAACTCAAATCAATTTTATATAATAATCCCCGTCATATTTTATATCAAATCAATTTAATCATTATATTTTAAATATTATTTAAATACATATTCAAGCCCAACACAAATCTCCATTCAATCAACCTTTCTTTTTTCTTGTCAAAATTAGCTCATTTTGTCCAATAAAATCAATTAAAAAAAATGATTTCCAATGACTAGCTAACAAATCAGTCTTTATAATGGAATTTTATCTACCCTAAATTGACATATACTTGGATGAATTTACATAATAATAATAATAATAATAATAATAATAATAATAATAGTAATAATAATAATAATAATAATAATTGCTGCATTAATTTCATTTAGATGAGACTGTTTTTGTACCGAAAAAAAGAAGATGAGACTGTTTGACCTTTTCTTCCCCTGTTTTTGTAGAGGACATAGAAATCAAGAAGACCAACACATAAAGGTCAGCTAATAGTACAGTACAGGTGACAATTTCCACGTAGCTCTTTCTTTCATCTTTCTGAGAGAGACAATATTTACTCTGCCCCAAAGTTGACTTATAGTTCGTATGAGTTTAAATAATATTAATAATATCAACTTCCTCGTTGGCAATCTTAATAATAATAATAATAATAATAATAATAATAATAATAATAATAATAATAATATCATATTAGCCTTCCTAACTTCCTTGTCTAGCAAGTAGCAATCTGGCAGGCAACACAAGTTTCTTCTCATCACCTTCTCCATCCCTCTCTCTCCACAAATTCATATATATTCTTGTTTTCTCATCTTTTTCTCTATAAAGAAATTTCCACACTTCATTTCTTGAAATTTCATTACATTCCTTCAAGAATTTTCAAGTCATACTTATCTTCCATTTTTTGGAGATGTCAAAGGTAAAAGTCCCCTTCCTTTTCCTCTGTTTTTTGTATAATTTCTTACACTTTATTAGTTTAAGTTGTTACTTTTTTTGTCAATTTCTGGAAAACTTTGTTCCTATTGGTGAGGACAGTAAATGAAGATTTTACCAATTTGTGATCGTGTATGAATATCATGTTCCTGGAACTTACAAGAAAGTTTTGACTGAGGAAATTCTTTTATGCATTTATTGATGTTTCTTTTAACTCTACTGATCCAAGATCAAGAAAAATTTCATGGTTTATTCCTAAAAATCTAATTTCAATTTCACCATCTTAAGAATTATGTTAAACTGGGACACTCTCTTTATATTAATTCCTTAATTAAATTGACTTTGTTTTTTTATTTCCTTATTACTCAAACCATTGTCTTATGATTGTTTTCCCCCACTGCAGAAAGTAGTGCTCAAAGTTCACATTCAGGATAACAAAGACAAACAGAAGGCTATGAAGGCAGTTTCTAGCCTCTCAGGTATATTATTATATTACTTCATCTTTTAATTTTTTTAAAAATCTCTCCTTAATACGTAAATTTGGCAAAATTTAGTATTGCCTTAAAAGTTTTAAATACAAAGTATATCCTGATGAAATTTGATCTATTGATTGTACCAAAAAAAATTGATCTATTGATTTTTTTATTTTAATTTTGTTCAAGTATGTATATTTTCATTAGAAAATGTCATACTCTTTAGTATGCACTTTTGTTCAAAATAGTGTGACAGGTCGATCTGTCTAATGGTTAGACAACCTCACTCAACAATTTGAATTATTGTGTAATCATCTCTCAATTTCACACGACTATTTGTGCTCTTTATTAATGATTTTTTTTTTTTTTTTCAGGTGTGGAATCCCTAGCCATTGACATGAAGGAGAAGAAGCTAACTGTTGTGGGGGACGTTGACCCAGTCGAGATTGTGAGCAAACTGAGAAAATTGTGGCACACGGACATACTAACGGTGGGGCCCGCCAAGGAGCCCGAGAAGAAAAAGGAAGATGCCAAGAAGGACGACAACAAAAAGGAGGACAACAACAACTACAAGAAAGAGGACGGCAAGAAGAAGCTTGAGAATGAACAAATGGCGGAGATGATGAAGATGTACAAGAATCACTACAATTACAGTTACAATAACCCTTATTATACACAATACTACCGTGTATATAGTGCCGAGGAAAATCCCAATTCTTGTGTTATTTGCTGATTTATATGTTGTACAAAAGAATATGCTGAAAATTTCATTGCATGTTGACCTTTTTTTGTTGTTGTAAAAAAAAAAAATACTTTAGTTATATTTGTTTTGTTTTCTTGATGGGGTTTTGAAGTATTTTTTTTTATGAAGACTACATTTAATGTGGTTGTTGATCATGTGGAGGGTAGTTTTTGTTTGATGTAAATTATACTTATCCTTTTGTTAGTAAGACCTAATAGTTAAGCTCAAATCCTTTTTAAATAATTGCATTGTTATTTATATTTAAAATAATTTTTTTTATTTGCTCGTTATTTTTTAATTAGTATTAATAGATAATTTTATTTTATATTAAAATAAAAAATATTTTTTATATTTAAACATGTAATATAGATATAAAATTGAAATTTGTCATATATGATTAATATAATATATTATATATGAAAAACTAACAACTAATACAAAATTTATTAACTTTTAAATATATTTATAATTTAAGTTGGTCAACTGTTTTATAATTTTAAAAATCCGAATATAGATAAATACAAATATACATGAAGTACTCCGAAGCATCAGAAATGAATACATAGGATTACAATACAACACAATTCAACACATAAGATTATTAATTAAATACAAAAATTGACACGTAGGATGACATTCTGCATTATATAAGGAGATGCATACTTATATATGAAATGTATTTTTGTTTATGTTTTTTAGAACATGACATTTTAATTTGACATTATGCATATTTGTTAAAAATGTATGATTGTCTAACCGTTAAACTTACTCAACAACAACCTTATTGTAAATTTGGAGTGTGTTTAGCAAACATTGCAATAATTTATTCAGTTAGACTATCCATAATTTCTCGTGTTCAAATAATTGTGCTCCGTTAGTGGTGGATACAGTTTAGCTAGAGGGGAGATATTATTGTATTTTAGTTTTTTTAAATGTCATTTTGGCTTTATCAATTATTAACTAAATAAACGACGTTTTGGATCATTTGTGCATATTTTTCAGTATTACCCTCATTTAGCTAATAAATACACTACGCATTCTCATATTCACTCTTTATCTTTTCTCAAAACATCTATCTCTATCTTCATTAATGAGAGTTATTATTGAAAAAAAAATTCTTAGTTATTGTACAACTTCTCAAAACGACACTTATTATAAATAGGAGAGAGTATTCTTCATTATCGGAGTTTGTATATCCATTTTTAAGAGTACTGTAATATTTATTTTAGTTTGTGCTTGTGTTTTCGGCGTTACGTCGCCTTTGAGTAGACCTCATTGTAGATTCAACCTAGTAGCTGATTAATTCGGTTGTATCTGGTTGTTTTCTATTCTGTAAATACATGTGTTTATTAATATAAAGTTTATCATTCTAAAAATAAATAAGTAAATAAATAAATAATAAGTTTGTTTAGTTGTGTGAACCTTTTCAAATGATGGAGCTTATCTTAAATATCTGTCGAATTGTGTTTCCTCATAAAATCCAAGACGTATTTTGTTTTAGCTAATTGATCAAATATTTTATAGATATCTTACTATATAAATTCATAATATAATGTCAATTAATAATATCTCATTATATTGTATAAAATTTTGATATAAACACATCCTTCAAACATAGAGTCGTCTCATTTCTACGAAATTTCCCCTCAAATATTGTTCATTAAATTCAGTTCAACAATTGGTGTTGTCGTTTTCTTGTTTTCTTCAACAAATCCTGTGATCCCGTCCATGGATTATTCTCCAACTCCAGAGTAAAAAAATCAGGGACGACCGGTAACTGTTCGTTTGGTTGATTATGTGCCTTGGGTCAACGTCATTGGATAGACTTTCTAATTACATATTAAAAATCTCGATCGAATTCGATATATATAATATATAATAGTAAGCTGACATGCTTGATTTGAGCACATATAAGTGTGAAAATGTAAATGGAGAAATAAAATTACTTGCACATATGTGTGAAAATGTAAATGGAGAAATAAAATTACTTGCACAACTAATTGCTTATTTGTTTAATTTTTATCAATAGCGAAATATATTTGAGCTCATAATACAAGCATTAATTTATAGGGGTATTATTCAAATCGAATTGAAGCTGAGTAACTCATTTTCGAGTTTTAACTCACACTACAAGAAAACGATGAAATTTCAACGGAAATATATTCAAATATAATTTCAATTAATATTTTTCAATGCTATTATTTCTGTTAGAATTTTTCAATGAATTCCAATGGAAATTCCAACAAAAATATTCCGTTTGAATGAATTTTCTATTAAATTTTCGTTGGATTTTGACGATTCCAACTGTAAATTTTCCAACGGGAGCGGAAATAAAAAATCCAATGGAAATTGCAAATTCCAACGGTAAAAAGCCGTTGGAATCATAAAATTTTATCTAAAATTCCAATGAAAAACACATTCCAACAGAATATTTTCGTTGGAATTTCCGTTAGAATCATTCCAACGAAAACTATACAATTGGAATATCCGTTGAAATTTTCATTGGAATATATTACCATAGGATTTTCCAATATTAGAATATAATAATTTTTTTGTAGTGTCATTTAATAAAAGACTTGACTCGACTCGCTCATGAAAGCTCGTCTTGGCTCGATTCGACTAATTTAATAATCCAACAATATTAAATGAGCGAGCTCGATCTTTCGCAAGCTGAACCGAGTAGTGTTTGCGAAAAGTTCGATTCGTTTAATAACTCCATTAATTTATAATTAGTCGAGAAATGATGATCAAAATTTGGACTATTTGCTCTTCATTAATATTTTGAATCTAAAATGTCAAATAATAATAATAATAATAATAATAATAATAATAATAATAATAATAATAATAAATAAATAAATAAATAAATAAATGAAAAAAAATTCTAACAATTTGCTGTTGCATGACAGATACAAGTACTTGTCATTAGTGTAACCCGGACCCGGTCGTCCCCATATTGGTCCACCAGTTTCCAACTAATTCTTGGATCTTTTATTTAAACTACTCTAAATTTCTTAATCACTCCGCCTCTAACCAGCTACGTGCACTTAAAAAGATTACATGACAATTTAATTTAAAGGAATATATGGATAAGAATAAGATGTTAGCGTCATTTTACATAGGTTGAAACTTGAAAGGCCGAACTTTATTTTTCCTTAGATGAAACCTTGAAGAGAACATTATTTATAGTTTGGAAAACTTATGTAATCACATATCATCAAACATGTAACTATTCTTTTTCTTTTTTTTTTTTTTAATATTGTCGTTTATATTTGATAAATAATGATCATCTTAAAAAAAATATATGTATCTTATCTATAGGGTTTATTTATTTATTTAACTCTTTGCATTTCTTGTGGTGATACGGAGAAGCCACTAGTGTTTATTAGCCCACGTAGTTAATGGGCTATTTTAAAGCCCGTTGGTAGGGGCCCAAATGAAATGAACACTCGTGAAATTAATATTTACCTTGACTTTGATATCTAATCGTGTCCACAGCTGAGTTGTGAATGAACCTAGCAACTATAGCAAGTAATTTATGGTTACATAGGATCTTGAGGACTTGTAGGTAATTTTACGTAGGCTTCTTGGATGGACACAATTACCTGTCCAGTAGAGGCTGGATTAAGCTATAAATTCGAATTGTGAT